TTTTTATTATCATTTTATTTATGAGTATAGTAATCGGGAAAAATATTTCATTTTCTATCAGTAAATCCTGATACAAAAATTAAATCATAAACGTCATTGATTCTGTGGAATATATAAAAAAATTTTTTTTTTTTTTTTAAGATTATTAAAAGAGTACAGTATTAAAGAAAAATATTAAAAGAAGATTTAAAAAGGTGATTAAAGAAGATTGAAAGAAGATTAAAAAAAAAAGAGGTTAAAAGATTTAATATTGAAAAAAAGGGTTAAAAGACAGCAAAGATTTAAGAAGATTTTTAAGAAGATTATGGCACCAAAAAAAATAACCAAAAAATTTAATGCGAAAATATATCCATTATCAAACCCGGAATTTCTTTCAGGAGAGAATATAGAAAATATGACACATTTATCAAGTAATACGCCAGAAATATATTCCACGAAAGATAAAGTTTTAAATACAAATGAAATATTTAAATATCCGAAACAAAATGAAGATTTAAACTGGAAACAATCATTTAATATTTCACCAGTTCTGACCGTGTTCCCGGAATCATGTTCCGATAATGATGATAATAACACGACAACTACCAACTCGTATCCCGTGACACCGACTACTTTAACGGCATCACCGGTACCATTTTCACTCGTTCAAAATTATGATGAAGACGTTACAGCACTTTCTCTTAAGCACGAAAATAATCGACCCATAACGCCACCACTTGAAAAAGAACAAGCTAAAACTAAACGTCGTAATAAAAGAACACGAGAAGAATATCTCGCGAAATATAAATTACCGATTAATGGAATCGCTACTAGAACACGAAACCGAACACAAAATAATGTTACTGTTGAACAACAAGGGAATGAAGAAAATTTTAGAAATCAAGATACCCTTGGATATTTCCTTGAACGTGCCGCTCCAATTCCGGAACTTTATTCCGGATCTTTTATTAATGATAATTTATGTAGACCAATAAAGCGGATATGTATAGGAGGGTCTTACCGACCAAACACGGAAGATTCCGATAAACACGTGGAAGATCGGCTAAATAAGTATGATAATGATCAAACAACCGCAGTTAGTAGCAGCAGTAATAAAAATAATAA